ATAATTCCATTGGCGTTGATGAATTCCATTCATGTAAGCCATCAGAATTGTCTGAGGCAATTACTGTGTCATTGTTAGAGCTTGTTTAATTTGTCGGCTAGCCGGCCTAAGTAACTGTCATTATTATTTTAGTCTTTGAAAAAGAACTTAGATATTCAATTAAGAATCACCGTTTCCTCAGACAAATTACTATTGTTGTTAAACTACTAGAAAGAATCAACCACTTCGTTGTTGTTTCGTATGCTAAAGTAAGTAAGCTTCTAGTCAAGGAATAGTCTACTTTTAGGGTAAACCATTCTTACCTGAACAACACTGGTTTCATACATGTGATGCTATATTTGTAAATCACTAGCAAGACTTTCAGTAACGTTCTTTGTCCAGATGACTTGGTAGTTTTGGAGTCAATAAAATGGTCATAACTTCAACTATAAGTTACCTAAGGATATGAGTCAGATTGCAATGGTTAACGGAACCTTACCATGGTAGCCACTGATGAACCATGCTATCCCTCAGAGATTGATTCTAAGACCTATTCTTCCCCTACTGCACACAACTGAGATTCCGTTAGGGATAAATTATCCTGTCTAATGGTGTTAAATTGTGAAGGACCTTACACAATCATATTAATCGACTTCCGTCGAAAAAAGATTTGGATTTATTCATTAATTGGCGTGAACACTGGACTTTGAAAACTAATTTTACGTAGAAAATAGTTATGCATGTCACTCAAAACAGCATTTAAAATTGATGAATTAGTGTGTTTACGCTACCTACAGTCACCGAATACAAGAATTTCTGAATGGACATAAACGATAACTTGAGAACCTACACATCAGTTGGCTATGAAGGGTTTTAGATTATAACAAGCTTATGAAAAATCCTATATATGTCGTATCTAATATAAGAGCTCCTTTCGAATGTCTGATCTAGGCAACAGTTCATTTCCTCAGAATATATATATATATATTTGCAAAAGCCCAAAGAAATGGAGGCAGATTGACTAAAAGATACTGAAACCTCTCACAAGAGGAGAAACTGAATCGGCTAGATTTATTTCCATTGTGACATCAGCTTTTTTAGGGTGACTCCATATTTTATGTCAAACGTGCCGATTTATTCTGCTTCTTTTATCTCCCTAAAACTGACCACTTATGGGAATACCACGTCGAAGTTCGAAGCCATGGTCGAATCGTCCGCCCCCTTGGAACTTCATTTCCTATACCGAATTATGGACCAGTGGAATAGGCATAAATTTAATCAAAACAAGAATGAACCATTAGTGTATAGCGAAATGTAAAGGATAATATACAGGGCTGAAAGTCTGCCGTCATCAGTCATCTGTCAACTGTAGATTAACATACTGTGTCAGTATCTGAATGTCTGGGATGTAATTATGCAAAAGATAGGGTCACACACGTTCGATTGAACCACTATATTTGTTTTGAAGCTCAATTTAATTTGAAGTTGCTTCACATAACTTATGACAAATATTTATGTGACACTATAAGCAACGTCGCTTGATTAACAGTCAAATTCTAAGTAATTTAGAAATGAAGTCAGTTAATCGTTTTTCTAATGCTAAATTTATTTAGTCTGGCTCTATAAACTGCAACAGTTGACAAACCATAACCGAAAGGGATCAGCCCTTAACTCATATGGAGAAACATGGCTTACTAGCAGTGGAACACCTTGGATTCCGATTAGGACGATCCTATCTAACAAACTTACTGTTAGCTAGGAAAGATTCGATCTAGACCAGGGATAAGAACCATCTCCTGGGCGTTGCCTTTATCGATCTTAGCAAAGAATTCGATAAGGTATCCCATTTGGATCTTCTTAGTAAATTCAAACATTTTGGATTAGACCAACGCCTATATAAGTGGCTTAGTGACTACCTGATGGATAGAAGGCAGAAGGTAGGGGTTAATGGTCTACTGTCAGGTTGGAAAGCAGTACTAAGCGGAGTACTTCGAAGAGATTTACTTGACCTCCTGCTATTCCTATTACACGTAAATGAACTGCCGAAAATTCTTACCTCATCTTCCTTACTATTCGCGGATGATATTAGGGTATGGAAAATCGTAAATAGTGACGATGATAGGTTGGTACTACAAAACGATCTAGATAAATTAGCGAATGGGCTAACCCTTGGAGTCTGGAAGTTAATTCCAAGAAAAGCGCGGTAATGCACCTAGGTCAGAAGTCCTACACGTCGTACTCCATGGGGGACACAGAACTACCAGATGTTAGGGAACAAAAGGAATTAGGAATTATTGTTAGCCATGACTTAAAAACAACGGCAAATTGTAATCGAGCCTCAGATAAGGCTTTTCGAAAGCTACAGGAACTTCGAAGGGCTTTTAAACGATTAGACGAGGGTATGTTCTAAGTACTCTATGCAATATATGTCAGGCCTCATCTAGAGTACTGCATACAAGCGGCGAGTCCATGTTTCAAAAAGGAGGCACATACCCTGGAAAGATTACAGAGGGTAGGAACGAAATTACTTAGTGGTATCTCACACCTTCCTTATGACATGAGGATGGAGCATTTAAATCTCTTCCCATTATCATATGGAAGGAGGAGAGGCGACTTAATTTCGGCTTACCGTATATTCAAGGGTGATTTAGTGATTGACCTTTCAAACCTCTTCTCTCCATCTAGGATACATTTACGGGGTCACCACAAGAAGGTGCTCAAACCGAGGTTAAATGAAATACGGTTGGAGTTTAGATTCTCACCCAGAGTAGTTAAAGATTGGAACTGCTAAACCTGAGGCAGTAGTAACAGCTCCATCGGTGAACGCTTTCAAAGAGAAACTGGATCTCTGCAGAGATATATATCGCGAGGATTAATGTGGTGATTGACAATTTCTATCTCTGTATTGTTTAAATACTTACTGTTGACTGTTGATATGTTTCTTATATGAATTGCATTCTAATTCCGCTAAATACAAATTACTGATTGCTGCCCTCTCTGGGTTTTGATTAGATTCCTATAATTCCGTCATCCTGGTATACTAATACTTCAAGTACAATAAATTACTACAAATTGGCGTCGCGATGGAGCTAAGTAACCTGGGAAAATTTCCTCTTAATGGTTCTCCGCGGGAGATTGCTGATTATTTGGAATGCTTTGATGCGTGGTGCATTTCCAAGAATGTTCGGGATGATAAAATACCTGCTCATTTCATCACCGCTATTGGGCTTGATGCATATAGCCTGGTGAAGAATCTGGCGTTTCCAGATAAACCCATTTCTATGCCATATGCTAAGCTCCGTGAACTTCTTATAGATCACTTCCATGTAACTACTTTTGAGACCAGAGAGAGGGCTCAGTTCAACAAACTGGTACGTTCTCCCAATCAGAAGATAAGAGACTTTATACTACAACTCCAAATTCAAGCCTCAAAGTGTAATTTTGGAGATCAGCTGCATACACAACTACGTGATCGTCTAATTGCTGGAATCAACATTCCTAAATTAGAGAAAGAGTTAATTCAGATTCCCTCTTGTACGTTTCAAACTGCTAAAGATTTATGTATTACATATGAAGATGTCAATAATGAATACTCTGCTCCCACTACGTCAGTGTCTGATGTTATGCTTTCTAAAGTCGAAAATACAAGTGGTCATGGAAAGCAATCCAAACTGCCATCCACAGGTAATAGAATGCAGCGAGAGATCAAAAACATTAAACCGTGTTTATCCTGTGGAAAGTTACATCTACGAAGCACTTGCCGTTTTCGGAGTGCTAAGTGCTATAAATGTGGTAAAGTTGGACACATCAAGACGGTTTGCAGGAGTTCGAGTACTTATGTTGCTCAACATTCTTATAATTCTCCCAAGCTGTCTAGTAAAATGGAGTCAATGTGTCTTTCAACTTTTCAAAATACTCAAGCTAATCCAACGAAAACCTCCACTGCAAGTTCAGCAACGCAAGCATCAACTGTATTCAAAAATGAGGTAGCCAAGTTGCAATGTGAACTGTCGAAAGCACGAAAAGACCTGAATGAGATGAGAGAGCAACTGAATAAAATTGAGGAATTACTGCATATGCGTAGACTACGTCTGGTGAGTCCAGAGCATACAAGTACCCGTGAAAGTCCTGCAAAACTATTCAAATCTCGAATTCTCAAAAAGCATCTGATGTCCACTACTTCTAATGTACATTATTACAAAGATAATAACTACAGACCTTCTGTTGGAATTATACTACAAAAAATGGGAAATCGAGTGGTGAAGATATTAGACATCAAAGATCACTCAGTTCATAACGGACACCTGGACAAAGTGACAATAAATGAAGTAGGTCGTTCCAATTATAATATTATTGATTCCGCTAATAATCCTGATTTTGTAGATAATTCAGAAATAAGTCCAGATAGTACTGATGAAAATAATATCACAGAATCAGTTAGCTCGAAGCTACTTGCAAGCAAACCGAGACATCGTTATAAATACGCGAGGAGATATTCGAGGTGTGGCGGATGTGGTGATTGACAATTTCTATCTCTGTATTGTTTAAATACTTACTGTTGACTGTTGATATGTTTCTTATATGAATTGCATTCTAATTCCGCTAAATACAAATTACTGATTGCTGCCCTCTCTGGGTTTTGATTAGATTCCTATAATTCCGTCATCCCGGTATATTAATATTTCAAGTACAATAAATTACTACAATTAACATAGACAACAAGAGCCTTCTATCCTCATAATCTGAATCTGAATCTGTACCCATTAAAAGGAGTGCTATTTCAAAAGCAATGTAAATCACTAATTACCTTTCCTAAAGCCTGATGTATAAATAATAATATAATCCACCACTCTAACATTGGATGCTACTGTCAGTTAGATTACTTTATACAAGCAAATCATAAAGCCAAATCTTTTAAAGAGGTAAGTGTTAGCTGAATATTTCGTAGACATTAAATATATTTCTAGAAATCTAATTTACGCTATTTAAAAATCCACATTTCATAAAAGCGTACAACTCACCATTTCATATCTTCTGTTTCCTGAGAAACAGGATGGTGGTGGTTCCTTATAGTCATTGGGTGAATTCGCTCCGCAACAGCCAACCTAATAATAAATAGAAATTTATATTCATACACCATACCCCACTTTGAATCGAATCGACCAGAACACTTAAGTCGGGATTATTACCATATTCCCTCACAGCATCTTCAATAGCTTTTCTGAACTTCTCTTTAACCTAAGAATTCAGTGAAAATTTGACTGACTGAATCAGAGTCATACTTTGTCTTTTAACACAAGAGCTCCAATGCCCCCAGCAATTTCACATAATATAATTATAAAAAGCACTGTGGCATACTACAAAGGTAAAGTCAAGTAATTTGAACGTACGAAAGTGAGTTTATAGACGCTCTCATTACAAGCTCCACAACATCCAATTATTCCTATGAAGAAAATAATCACTCCAAGAGTAGTTATGAAAACGGCTAGACCATAGATAGCAACGTCAACGTCTTTAGAGTATTGAATTATAGATAAGCATGAAATTATTCCAATAGTGACGAGTGCCATTCCACATATCTATGCAAATAAAATTAACTTTCGAAACCTCCAAACATACAAAAACTAAAATATTGGCAATTATAAGTACAATTTGAAGACATCGTTGACCACAGGTTAGGGTAGACATATTACCAACACGATTTCACCTTAAGACCTTGTGGTCCCGCTTCCAATGTTCAACTCAGCCTTGTATTATGAGATCCAATATGACAAAACAAAATTAAAAGTAAACATTCCGAGAGCCTGCCCATCTGGTAACCGATGTAATTTCCACTAAACAGTGTACACGGAAATTCTCGCCTTTTGATTGTAAGGTAAAGGTTCCCGGTCGTCGGCAAACTTCTGCGTAGCTCGTGCCGCCACTCGACTGTCGTAGCTTTGGTTGACTCTAAAAGGAGTAGTTCTGGGATTAATTGAGTGTGGTTTGTAGTATGAATTGTGTTAAGACTGTTACTACTGTGAATGGAGTTGATCCTTTCACCAATTGGTCCTTCGGTATCGTCGTCAAAAGAAAAGGGATAATAATAGATATAATTAGTGTAAGTTGTTCAGACCGAAATACAGAAAAAGAAATAAAGAAAACGAAAAAATAGACAGCTAATCAAACATGAAGTTGATACATGCGTATACATATATGAAAATATATATAACATCAGTAATAATAAGTGTAATAAAAGTTGTCAGAAGAGTAAGACCGGAGAGAATGTAAAGAAGTAAAACGAAAAATTTAGTTGTCTACCCCTGAATGGTATGTGGGATTTTAAGGGGATAGGCCATCTTGACACATTCCTTGTGTTGCTGCATGATTGTCCAGCCTTGTCTTAAAGGTGTCCGCAGACGGCGCCATAGCTACACCTGCCGGTAAGGAGTTCCAGGGATGGCAAACCCTCAATGAGAAGAAGTGGAAGGGCACCCGGGTCCTTGCCCTCCGGTGAGCTATCGTTCTCGGATTTTCACGGGGAAGCCTATACGTACTCAGTGGCAGAACACCATTGTTTGGGTGATTCCCGTTATTCGTTATCTCATAGGCAGTAATCAAATACCCCTAAGCTGACGGTAGCTAAGCGAATAGGCCTAATTTCTTTAGCCTTTCATCATATGGTTTATTTCGGAGACCAACCACTCCTTTTGTCGCCCGTCTTTGGACTCTTTCGAATAGGTTGGCATCTTCTCTAAGCAGTGGGGGCACAATAACATTATGCACTTCAAGGTTTGGTCTGGCATATGTTTTGTACAATCTTATAAAGAGCTCAGGAGTGAGTGCACCTAACTGTCTATGTGTGAAGTGTGTGACCGCATATGCCCCCGCTACGTCTCCCGTGTAATTTACGCTTGTGTCCACTTTTTCCGTTAGAACTAGACTTAAATCGCGCTTCGATGCTGTGCAGGACAAGCTTTCATTGGACAGGGTGTAACTTGCGTCCTGCAGTGGGTTTATTACACAGGATCTGCCTTTCCTGAAACCGTGTTGGGCTTCATGCAGTACATTAGATCTATCGAGGCAATCCCTGATGTGATCATCAGTAATACTTTCCAGTACTTTTGATACCACTTGGAGTAGAGCTGTTGGTCTATAACTATTGGCATTTTCCCTATCCCCACTCTTGAAGATCGAGGAAGGGACGGCTCTTTTCCACTCCCTTGGCAGCTTCCCTAAATCCATCGGGTGTTGAAACAAGTCGCAAAAGGGTCCACAGAGAGCTTCGGTGCACTGTTTTAGAACAGATGGCCTGATGTCGTCGCAACCTGGGGATTTCCCAGGTGTGAGTCGCCGTAGCTTCCTCAATACTATTACCTAGTTTATTAGGGGAGTAGCCACTAGGTCCTCCTCCGGTGAAATGGTAGCGTCACCGTTCTAGTCCGTACTGGTAATGCCCACATTGCTGTTTAGCTGTTTGGCAAAGGCTAAATTGAATGTCTCCGCCATCTCCAGGCTAGTGAGATATTGACCGTTTGGGCTTACCAAGGAACATGCCCCTGGTTGGTTGGTTTACTTTCCGAGATGAATCGATACAAGTTTTCGGGGCTTGCTAGGAGTTCTCTGGCAAGACTAGCCTGGAATGAGCTCCTGTCTCTGCCCCGCTTCCTGAGCTCTAGGTGTGCATCGTGGTTGGTCTCACTCTTGGTTATGCAACACGTCAATCAAGCCTTCCGCCCTGCTTGGATAATACGTTGTGTACCTCTTTTCAGCCATGATGACTTCTTTTCGGACTGTGTTGTGACGAAAAAGACAGTATCCGAGGTTGTTGTATGAATAATCTCTTTTACCACTTCCTAACGTTCATCCAAAGATAAAGCATCCCATGCTAAGGGCCATTCTGCGTCGTAAAAAATCCTCCACAATTCAGCATAGTCCGCCTTGCTATAATAATAATAATGCTAATAATGATAATTTGTATTTCGTATAAACGGGTAAATTTACAAAGAATGCATGCTGTTTTTACAGCCACAATCAGTTATTCCATAAATTACAACCCCGAAGTATCATAAATTAGCACTTTTTCAAAAGTTTGAATTGTTCAATTTTTGTGCAAGCAATCAGAACAGGTTCACTTCAGTGTTAAATTTTTAACCCTTCATTCAGGTCAACACCAAAGTTGAGCGACATCCCGAACTTCATTCCGTTTCCTGCTGATAGTTATGGTCAACCAGTGAACAGAGTATATATGGGTGAGTGCTATGCAGCCACGTGATTGAACGCTATTTCAGGAAGAGAAGAAATTTCTGCGCAGCTGCAAAATGGTACAAAATGCAATTATGAATAACACATTAGTCATATGAAAAAGAGAAGACGTTCAGCGAAGAGACTCTTTTCGGCGAATTCATTCACATAGCTGTACAATCGCATTTATATATAATTATTTGAGTGTGTGTGTCATGAGGTTTGTCAAAATTAGATAATTGATCAGGTAATAAAAGAATGATCTAATATAGAAACAAAGTTAATTGGACAGCAACTAAATTAAGATTGAGTTAGTAAGTTAGATGACGTAATACAATTGACTAAAATGTTTTAACTTAGGTCAGGTTGACCTAAGTTAAAACATTTTAGTCAATTGTATTACGTCATCTAACTTACTAACTCAATCTTAATTTAGTTGCTGTCCAATTAACTTTGTTTCTATATTAGATCATTCTTTTATTACCTGATCAATTATCTAATTTTGACAAACCTCATGTACACACACACACTCAAATAATTATATATAAATGCGATTGTACAGCTATGTGAATGAATTCGCCGAAAAGAGTCTCTTCGCTGAACGTCTTCTCTTTTTCATATGACTAAATGGGGATTTTCAAGAATAACACATTATTGAAAACATATTTACAAGATAAATACGAGGAGAAGAAGAAGCTATATAGTGCTTGAAATGATAGTGTACATGGTCGCATAACGTCACACATTAGGTGCTCACGGAGAAGAAGATCGAAACCAGTGACTGCATGGTCGCTACTTCCTAGAAGAGTCATGGTCTGGACCTTTTTAACGAGCAGTTGGTCACTAGTTGGAATGTAGTCTAGTTTCGATGACTCTCCACTAGGGCCCCATCTAGTGTCGTCTCCAATATTCTCAGTCAGTCAGTCCTGTATATCGAATGGTTTGTAGCATATTTCGACCGAATTTTCCCTTAGCATACCTGATCCAAGGTTCGGTGATGGGGCATTGAAATCTTCAGCTATGGTGATTTGGTCATATCCCAAGTCCCGTCACCCTGTGATGGTGCTGGGCGGTAGCTGGCTGTGCTCTGCTCTGAGTGGTAGATGCCACTGAGTAAATGCTTGGTGCGGCCTACGGTAAAACGACACCATATAGAGTCCGGGAGTTCGATAAGTGGGGGCTACGTTGCGCGTACACATTTAAGTTGCCTGTCAAAGTATATAGAAACTCCCCCTTCCTTATTGTCCTTGAAAATCCTGACCAGAACCATATTACATGTATTGATTTCGTTATGGGCAATAGTGAGTGTTAGCAAGGTTTCAGTAAGAATGATTATTTTAAGGTGTACGTGGGACTGGAGTCTTTTGAGTTCTCCTACTTTTCCTGTCAGTCCTCTCACATTTCTGCATAGGCAGCTGACAGTGAACCTCACAGCCTCAGCGTGTTTTGCGGTGGTTGACTTTGTGTTGTCTGCTGCTAGGGGACTTAATGTTCCGACTAGTTGACCGATTTCTATGGAACCGGCCTGTTGTAGTCTCTTCCAATGAATTCAGGTAGGACACTTGAGTGACACAGATTGTTGTTCTCAGTACCGCACCGCTTTAGTGTCACTGGGGCTTGGAGACGTATTGAGGCCTCAGTTTGCTGCCTCCTTATGGTTCGGGCGTCCTCCCATTTTCCCCTTGGTCTCGTACCACCATTGAAGTACTATGGCCAACTGCTCCTGGGAGTTGAATTTGTCACTTGGCAGCCTTTGGAAACCAATCAGCGTGAGATGAGCGGGGCGAGGTAGTCGGAAAATGGAGATCTCTCCAAAGAGCAAAGGGTCATCTCAGAAGATAGTCATCTCCAGTGCTGCACGTCATGCATGTGTTTTTCACAAGCAGTGCCCGTCTTCAGCTCCGGAACACCGTGTATGACCATAGAGGTAGAAGGCATCAGTTCTGGTAACTCCCTCGCCATTTGCCTGTTAGCCAGTGTAACCTGTAGTGGTAGTGGCTTACCCTGGGTGTGTGGGCAGCCCTGTGCAGCCTGCAAAATTTCCCTGAACTAACGTTCAGACCTAATTTATTGCACAGATTGGACCACTGTTCCTGATCAAATAGGACCCGTCGTCTAAGCAAGCTATCCTTGCTCACAGGTACATTAAAAAGGATAAGAGAATTAGACCGATTGACTCTAGACTTAGGTTTGGCTTTTAGCCACTTGTGTCCCTTTGCAGGATCAGTAACCTTAGGCTTCATCAGGTCTTGATCAGCCTTTGCTGTGTTGCCAAACTTGCTAGTGGATGCAAGTGGTGCTTCGGAAATTCTATCTTTCCCTGGTGTTGTAGGTGCAACCTCGGAAGTCTTCACTTTATGAAACTGGCATTTCCAGTCAGTTGGAATGGACTATCCTTCTTACTGTCTTTACCGGGTTTTTGCTGAGTGGTGTTAGCGGGTGGGGCGCTTCATGAGACTGTGTCG